GCCGGACTCCTGTTCCCAGGCGGTGGCCCTGGTGGAGGACTTCCTGAGGAGCCAAGAGGCGGTTGAGGCTGCCACCTGGCAGGTGAGATATTATTACTTTATTCCTGGAATCTCTGAGATGTCACAGGATGTACCACTGCAGTTATTCATTTGGATATGGATAGATTTAATGAATCCTACCTAATGACCAGCTGAACTTTGGGCACTGAATGCAGTTTCAAATAGGATCAGCTTAATAATTTCAAAACAGGAAATGTGCAGGATATTCTGCGATGGCAAACAGTATAGTTTAAAAAATTAAGAGCAGGAAGTGTTTCCTGCCCAACCATGCCTTTCCTAGTTACGAGCCTGTGTTTTCATCCCTGTTTCAGGGGCTGCTGAAGGAGGAGTGTGAGGATTTCCTGGACGCAGGGAGAGAGCCCTTGAATCCCACGAAGGTCTACGAAGATGCTGAGCAACCTGGTGATGCATCTTTGGTGCTTGGAATCCCAAATGCGCAGTCCTGACTAGCGTCCTGCATGAGGAGGAGGTGCAGAGGGTGGTGGGATTCATGCACCTTCCAAGGCTGCGTTTAAAAAACTATTTCAGCAGAGGCACCTTTTCCCACTCTTGCATTACGAGCTTCTTGCATCAAATTTCTGCCTTGTTTACAATGCTTAAAGAAATCTCTCTTTGGGGAGCTGAGATGGTCTTCCCTAATGCTTAATCTTAAGCCACTGTTAACACTTTTGTGTCCTGCTTGATTATTTTAATTCTAATCTGCTCTCTGTTTTTAAAGATGATTCATATTTTTTATCAGTGAAATCATAAATGTGCTGTATGCCAAACAAGAAAATAATAATTTCCCCTATTAAAGTTGTCCTCCTGTCCTTTGCAGACATGGGAAACTATTTTTCAAAATTTGCCAAGCCTATTTACTTAAGTTTATTTAATTATTTTCACAAAATACATTAGAAATGGAAAAATATATGGAAAAGAGGCAGCCAAGGGATATTCCTCAAATATAGCAAATACTATTCAGTATCTAACAGTATCTTTTACCACATAGCTAAATAACTAGCAAAATCTTTGGAAGAATCTCTGGTACGATACTTGCTAATATGATCTTAGCATTCATAGAAAAGTAATTTTTAATTATGTTCCCCATTTCCACATGTATCAGCTTCCAAATTCTTTAATTCTGTCACACGTCCACCACATAGGGTAAAACGTCCCATCTACCTCTTCACATCGCCAACATTTCCTGTTGTAATTCTTCTCCATTTTCTTGTTTTTTCAATCCTTCACATTGTTCTCAAGATGAAGACATGGGCCACACAAACGCAAAAGAGGCCTGCAGTGTCTTGGTGAGTCGCATGAGCCATACACTCATTGATCAAGCATCGTATGAACCATGTTCCCCGGAAGAGCAACAGCTGCTTCCTGCCCAGAGAAGGCCCTTCCTAGCCATGAGCCTCTGTTCTCTTCCCTGTTTCAGGGGCTGCTGAAGGAGGAGTGCGAGGATTTCCTGGAAGCAGGGAGAGAGCCCTTGAATCCCATGAAGGTCTACAAAGACGCTGAGCAAATTGGTGATGCATCTTCTGTGTTTTTGTGATGTTTAGACTAGCTAGTTCAAAAAGAAAGTCCTGCTCCGAAACTAGATTACTGAGAAACTTGAAGAGCTAAGCCACTAGATCAGAACTGAGCTCGAGAATTATCTAGCTGCAGCTCCAACGTGAGGGGGAAGCAGCACAACCAGAGGCTGAACAAGGAATCCCAAAAGGACATGCCTGACTAGCGCCTTGTGTGATGAGGAGGTGCAATGGGGGAGGGGACCCCTGCGCTTTTCAAGGTTGTGGGGAAAGGGGAATTTGAGCAGATGCTTCATTTCCCAAGGTTGAATGACAGGCTCCATGCACCAAGAATCCGTCTTGTTTACAGTGCTTACAGGAACTCCTACCCTGGGGAGATGAAATCTTCTCCTTCGATGCTTCATTTTCAGCTACAGTTAACATTTTCTGTCCTGCTTCATTATTTTAAATCGAATCTTCTCTATGTTTTTAAAGATAATTCTTAAATAACTTTATCAGTGAAATAATATATCTGTTCAAGGCCTAGCAAGAAAAGAATAATGTCCCCTATTAAAATCCTCTTGTCTTTCACAGGCATGGAAAACAACTTCCAAACTTCTGCCGATCATTTGCATTGTTCTCAAGAGGACCACACTGGTGGGAAAGTGGCCGGCGACATCCTGGTGAGTCAAATGAACCATGCAATCAGTGGTCAAGCATCGTATCAACCAGGCTTCCCTGGAAAAGCAGGGAGCTTCTCCTGCCCAGAGAAGATCCTTCCTAGCCATGAGCTTCTTTCTTGTCCCTGTTTCAGGGGCTGCTGAAGGAGGAGTGCGAGGATTTCCTGGATGCGGAGAGAGAGCCCTCGGATCCCATTCAGGTGTATGAAGATGCCAAGCAATCTGGTGATGCATCTTTTGTGCTTGTTTGATGCTTTGACTGGCAAGGTTAAAAAATAGGCTCGACTCCTAAGCACGAGTACTGAGATATTTTATCACTCCCTAGTGGCTAGATCAAAACCAATCTCTGTAGAACTCCATAGGTCCGGATCCCTTTTGAAGTGGAAGCTGCTTTAATTCAAAACTGAGCAAGGAATCTGAGAGAACATGCCCGACTGGCGTCCTGCATGATGACGAGGCACAGTGGGAGGTGGGTTTCCCACCCCTTCTGAGGTTGCAAGGAAAAGCAGAGGCACCATTTCTTGCTGTTGAATTACGGGCTTCCCGCACCAGAATACCTGCAGTGTATTCTGCAGTGTGTATTCTGCATTGTGCAGTGTGTTGAGGCCCCCACCTTAAAACTTCCTGCTCTGCTTGGCATTTTAGGATGTGAAATCTTAATTCTGCTCCCTGTTTTCAAGATGAGTCATATGTAGTGGTGTGGCTCGAAAAAGAAACAGGGTCCATTTGGTTAGGAATGGAATAGTTTTTTGTAGAAAAATCCTCTTCGTGTCCATCACAGGCATTGGAATTGCTGGCCCTTCACCGCTTCCTCCTGAGCAAGAAATGGACCTCCCTGGAGGGAAAGAGACCTGTGGCCTTCTGGTGAGTTTGCTTCTCCTCGATAGACACACAAGGTGTGTTTGAGTAGACTCAGCCTGGTGGGACATTTGCATTCAAAACCCAAATTCTGGAAAAGGTCACAGCACGCTAGTCTTCCTGCTAGATAGGACTGCAGCTAGAAGCAGGCCTGGAAAGCTGCAGGCAGCAACCCCATTTTGGAAATATTCTCTAAAGCAACATGTGTAAAATTTGGGCCAGGAGGGGGCATTTTTCCTTGATTTTTCTTCACTGCATACTGATTGACGCAGGTGGAACTGCGGAACTCTTTGACCCAGTGCACACGCTCTCTTCTTTCCTACTTGCAGGGAGAGCTGAAGCTCAATGAACGGAGCTTCCTTTTGCAGGTCGGCAGGCAGATTTCGCAGCACCCTGCCCAAGAGAGCGTTGCCTGGTCACACCTGCAGGGCGATGTAGGTTCTTCAGGTAAGCAACTCTTCCATTTCAAGAGTCTCTGGAGCCACTGACGGGATTTGCAGATCTAGGTACCAGCATCCTTCATGAGAAATAAAATTGCTAGCCCACATTTGTACTTGAGATTCTAAATGAATTCTAGTGGCTCAAGCTGTGTTTGCGATCCGCTAACTGAAAATAAAAGCCTGAGGAAAAGGGAGGAAGTTGAAAGGAGTACAGACATAGAAAGGAACATGCGGTACAGAAAGAAATGTGTCTCAGAAAGAAAAGCTGAACTGAGAGAAAAGGCAGGTAAGGTAGGATAGTATACAAAATGAGGCATGGTGTGGAGGAAGGGAGGTGGATTGCTCCGGCTTCCGTCAGACTTCTCCCAGCAGCACGAAGCTGATTCGTGGGAGATTCACAATGGACAAAAGGAAGGACTTTGTGGTCGCCATTTGGATGTGTTCAACAGGAGATCGGACCAAGTCGCTCTCCAGAACTCTTAGTCCTTGAGGAAACACCGCACCTCAAGAACCGGAGGCGGGATGCTTTTGTACACCAGTTGCTGGGGACTTGGGCAAGGGGGGCTGTTTGATCCCAATCCAGCTCATGGGTTTCCTGTGAGCAGCTGGTTGGTCACTCAGTGGACAGACTGCTGGATGAAGCAACCCTGTTAGTATGCAAAAGTATTGCTAGATACCAAGAGTCAAGTAAACTGAAAGTATTTCAAAAGAGGACAATAAAGCATGGAAACCTTTCCCTTCTATATCTGCAGGTGACAAGAAGGAATGTCAGGTCAAGTTGGAGACTCCTCGGTGCGGAGGAAAAGAGGCTGAGGGCTCACCCGGGACTGCCCCAGAGATGAGTCAAGCAAACATTTTGGGGATGGTGGAGTTGCATCAAGGAGCAGGCAAGTCCAACGAGGGACAGGAGAAACAGCGTGCAGGAAGGAGGAGTAAATGTAACGAGCTCTCGGACGGTCCCGCGGCTGCAATTAGCCAGCCTTCCAACGTGCAGACAAGGGGAAGCTTGCCCAGGTTTTCCAAGTATGGCAGAAGATACCGCTACAGGTTAGAACCTGATACAATGGATACCAGGGAGGAAGGTGTCAATGACTATGACAAGGGTGACTGCGATGACCACGATGACACATGGCCCGCATCAGGGGAAAGTCTCCCTCAAAGTGCATGGCTTGATCACCCTCCGAGAAGGAGAAAAGAAAGGAGTAGATCTGCACTTTCTGGGAATGGTGAAGGGGATAATTTAAGCAGACATCAGACTGGCCACCCAGAAGAGAAACATCACGATTCCAATGGGTGTATAAAGAGCTTTGGTCATTCAGTGACACCAAACAGTAATCGGGTGATTCCAAGTGAAGGCGGAGCAGATGAATGTGTTCGTCTTAGCAGATTCCTCAATCAGAAAGAACATTTGCTGGATCATGAACAAGGCCATCCTGGCGAGAAAGGACTGGAATGTCCTCGTTCTGAGGAACTCTTTACCTTTAGTGAACAGGAAATTCCTTCTGGAGAGAAACCATATAAATGTTCTCAGTGTGGGAAATGCTTCAGGCATAATGGAAAATTGATGTGTCATCAGAGAATTCATACTGGAGAGAAACCATACAGATGTTCTCAGTGTGGGAAATGCTTCAGTTTTCTGCAAAATATGAAGAGACATCAGAGAATTCATAGTGGAGAGAAACCATACAGATGTTCTCAGTGTCCGAAATGCTTTTGTGAGAAAGACAAGTTAAAGGAACATCAGAGAATCCATACTGGAGAGAAGCCATACAAATGCCTTGAATGTGGTAAAAGCTTCAGATTGAGTACAAATCGGAAAGAACATCAGAGGATTCATACTACAGAGAAACCATACAAATGCCTTGAATGTGGTGAAAGCTTCAGATGGAGTAAGTGTCTGAGAGGGCACCAGAGAATTCATACTGGAGAGAAACCATACAAATGCCCTGAATGTGGTAAAAACTTCAGACTGAGTAAGAATCTAAGAGAACATCAGAGAATTCATACTGGAGAGAAGCCGTACAAATGTTCTCAGTGTGGGAAATTCTTCAGAAAGATACAAGATAGGCAGAGACATCAGAAAACTCATACTGGAGAGAAACCAAACAAATGCCTTGAATGTGGCAAAAGCTTTCGATTGAATAAGAATCTGAGAGAACATCAGAAAATTCATACTCAAGAGCAGCCATACGAATGTTCTTAGTGAGGGAAATGCTTCCAAGGGATACAAGATATGAAGAGACATCGGAGAATTCATGTGGACCTTACGCCACCAGTTGGTGTGAGAAAAGCTTCAACCACAGAGTGTACTTGCGGCTCATCACGGAGTATATTCAGTAGAGAAACATTCAAACGTGCCGGAGATACTTCTTTTGGATTATTATTGTTGTTAATAATAAACTTGCAAGAGACGCAGAGTTGATGTTTGCCCTGAAAGTGGGACACTTTTTATTTTGAAGGATGTAATGATCAGGGTGGATCATGATTTAAATTCCTAGTCAGTAAGACTAGATTTAAATCATGATTTTTTACATTAAGACTCATTCTTGCTGGTATAATCTTAATATTTAAATGAGATGAAGGTTTCCTTTTTCGATTAACAACTTTTCAGATTAGTTTTACAGTTACATAAAAATACTGATTTGGTTATTCTATTCGAAACACATTATAGATAGGTAATTATGAAATTATTGCAAGATGTTTAGATTTTGCATGCTTGCCTGCCTTATCTGTAGGTAGAGGAACTTCATTAAATTATTCCCAAACTGGATCTCTCTTATGGTCTGCTGCCATTATAGGTTTTCTCCAGCAGGGAAAGAATAATATGATAAACCTCAGGCTGTTCACAGAAAGAGCCAAAGACTTGTGAGATATTCTGTTAAAAAGGTTTCATTTTCATATTAAATATCTGCTCCTCCCTCCTCAGACTTCGCTTCTTGTGAAGGTCAATTCCACTCCCAACAAACCTATTCATTGATTTTTATTTTTATTTTTTTAAATTTGGCATTTAAGAGTTAAGGGGTCGATTCTGTTTACATAAATTTGCAAAGGAACAATGCTATTAAGGTCTTTTTCTCAGCCCTGTATCTTTATTTTATAACAGTTTGTGATTTCTGCTGTGACACAAATTCACAGTTTTGAAAACAGTAAAATCACACATCTGTGATAACGTTCTAGAAAGAAAAATTCCCCAATAACTTACCTCTTGAAAAGCATGACATTATGAATGGATTAATGGGATTCATTTATGAAAAAATTAATGTGGAATATACAGCCTCATGCTGCATAATTAAAAGCTAATCCTTATTTCATAATGAATAACCTTTGGACTATAACATATCTTAAATAGAAAACTATCTTTAGATAGATCTTTCTTTAAAAAGCTTTTTATTAAAACTACAATTTAAATAAAAAATCAGATTTTTTAAAACCTAAATATTGATTTTTATTCATCCTAGTAATGATTAAGCTTCCTAGAAAATGCCAATTAATGTTCCTTTGTGGGGAAGGGAGGGGAGTTGGGAACAGCATCCTATCCGTGTATCCGATCCATATACCAGCACCAGCATCCTATTCGTATATTAGCCAGCCTGTTGTCCAGGGGAAACCCACAAGCAGGACGTGTCTGTCACAGCACTTTCTCGCTACAACTGCTGCGCTTAGCCAGCTGCACTATTTTTATAAACTAGCAATTCTTCCAGAGAGCTCCAGCTAACTTTGCCACTTCACTGCCCCCTCCCAATTCCAGATTGTCATTGCTAGTCGGGAAGTTGCGTCCGACACTGCAACCTCACGGACAACGCTCCTCCAGGCCTTCCTGTCCTCCACCATCCCCCGGAGTCCACCTAAGCTCAGGCCGACTGCTTCAGTGACTCCATCCAGCCACCTCATCCTCTGCCGTCCCCTTCTTCTTTTGCCATCTATTCTTCCCACCATTAGACTCTTCTCCAGGGAGTCCTCATTAGGTGGCCAAAGTATTTGAGTTTCATCTTCAGCATCTGGCCTTCTAAAGGGCAGTCATGGTTGATCTCCTCTTGGACTGACCGGTTTGATCGCCTTGCGGTCCAAGGGACTCGCAGGAGTCTCTTCCAGCACCACAATTCAATGGTCTCAATTCTTCGGCATTCAGCAATCCCAGATAGTCCTGCATAAATGGAAAGCATTGGGCCTAGTACAGATCCCTGTAGGATCTTGCTGTTTCGATCACTCTTGAGAGAATTTATTCTCATTTGGAATAATTTTTCTTATACAAAACTATGGCACAACTCTTTGCTCTTACCCTCTGCTTTCTGTTCTGGAACCAGTTAATGATGCATCCTCTTATTCCATAACTGCTAAATTTGTTCTGGTGTCTTGGAGGAAAAGGAAGGACTTCATCAAAGTCTTCTGGAAATCCAAGTAAACTTTGTCTTCTGGAACACCCATGTGCATATCTTCACTGATACTCTCAAAGAACTCTGAAGGCAGGATTTCTTTGCGGAAGCTACGCTGCTTCCTTTTTTCATCGGGCATTTCCTTTTCTGTTGTCCTTCTGGATACCACATGTGCTTTGCATGGGGAACAACTTGCGTTCAGCCCAGTGCCCCAGTCTATCAAGATCACTTTGAGTTTTGTCGGTCTCCTCCAGGGTATTACTGCAGTTTTGTGCAGTTTAATGTAAGAGGTTTAGATGGGAGATGGACATTAGAGGCAGAATGAACCATTAAACAAGCTAACTTATTAAGCAGATATTTTGTACATAAGGAAATGCTGATATTTCCTTTGCAGGTTTGAAATAAAAATTTGCAGACACTTAAGGACTAAGGACACGGTTGCTAATGCAGTGCCCTTTAGCACAATCCTACAAATGCCTACTTGGAAGCAAATCTTACGTCAGTGAGGTTTGCTACCAGGTAAATTGGTATAGGATTACAGCCCTAACGACTTCTTTTATCCCAGACCAAATTTACTGCCTTCATGATCAGCTGCAGCTCTTGGAGGGTTTTTTTCTGGCTGCTTGGACTCTGTGTGGGTTGCCACATCTCCTGCTGTAACCTGGCAAGATCGCGGGGCCATCCGTCCCAGGATGGAGATGGGAAAACACCAGCACCACTGGCTCCTTATCTCTGCCAGCAAGGTCTGCATTCTTTTCAGTGCCAGGTGCAAACCCTTTTATTTTCTCAGTACTTTTAATGCTTAGCTTTTTAACTTTAATTTTAACATGGCATTTTATTCTGTACCTCTCTTAGAACTCTGTGATGGTTTGGTTACAATTGTCATGGTTTTATTTATGTTAATTCCCCACCCCTCTTTTTTGACTGTGTGTTTTCGACTTTTGTTAACTGCTCAGAGAGTCTGCTCTTGGGAGGCATAAAAATAAAATAAATAAATGGCAGGGTTTTGGGGATCCACAGCTCTGCAGACCCTCCATGAGACTCTAGGATGCTTTCTTATGTGATAAGAAATGACAAACACATGCGGAGACACCAGGAGATAGGAGAGGAAGACGCACGTGGAAAAATAGAGTAACAGAATGTGTTGTTTGTTTATTTACAGCATTTTGATACCACCTTTCCAAAAACCACAAAGGCAGCAACTCAAAAAACAGTAATGGAGAAAAGCATAATAGAGTAAAAAAGTTAACATGCGTAATTTTTTGCAAGCCGAGTTTAAAAAAGGATTTAATTGGAAAAATGATTCACTGGCAAAAATGGTAAAGCATAAATTGAGAATAAAAAAATTCTCATGGGAGGCTGCGGATTTTGAGGACGGAATACACAATCGCATGTGGGTTGAAGAGTTGGTTAAAGGGACCCTGATATCAAATAATAACCACGCACTGAGAGATGGCCTAGTGGAAGTTTAGTATTCCATGAGAGAAAAGAGTTGGCCTCTCTGAGGTCCCTGGTTGAGGCATGTGGTGGATACTTGGGGAGAAATTGTGATTTTTTAACTTGTGGGGACGAGTCTGGTCTCGGTGACAGTTGGGATACGGGGAGAAGGGTGTACAGTGGTTTGCTTGTACCAACAGATTTCAGGACTGGGGGGATGCAAGCGAGGAGGGGATCTTTGGGGGAACTGATAGATTTTGAGGGGTTAATTGTACAGCAGGGTGATCATCTGTTGGGGGGACTTCGCAGGCAGTTGGTGCAGCGTGGCGCTGGGGCTCAGTGGGATGGGAGGTGTTCGGTGGTTTGGAGGTACCATCTTGGAGAGGAGATGTCACATTGTCACTGGGGGCTTCATGGAGGAAGGACATTGAATTCACAGCTGGTCAAGCACGGAGAGGGAATTGGCCCGGGGTGTTTTGTTGGTGACGTATTACTTCAAGAGATATTGAGAGGATGGATGGGAACAGCAGTGGGATGAGGCAGGGTGGATGGGACTTCCTGCCACGTGTGGTAACTTGTGAAACAACTGGAAGATGGTGGGGGTTGATACATGCCAAAATACAGGGGACCTTTGCAGCTGGGTTTCCTGCGAGTCCTGGGGGGGCGCTTTTGAGTGTGGTGCCAGACTTTTTCACAGAATATGTCAGTTGTTTGAGTATATCATAGCTGCAGTGGGAAGGCTGCTTCTGGGTGGAGCTCGTCAGGGTCCCCATTGGAGACTCTGAGGGGATCTCTTGGCGACATATTTATTTATTTATTTATTTATTTAAAACATTCGTATGCCGTCCCCCATGCAAGGCAGCTCGGGAAGCTCACAATCAGTACGTTAAAACAATCAACATACATTAAAACAATCCAAGCGGTAAAAGCAATAAAATGTGACTGTGATATTAATACTAGTTTTTAAAATACTGGTTAAATAAAAAGGTTTTGACCTGGTGCCGAAAAGAGTATAAGCTCAGCCCCAAGCAAACCTCTCTGGGGAGCACATTCCATAATCTGGGTGCCACCACGGAGAAGGTGCTACTCCGAGCAGATGTCCTTTTTGCCTCCTTCAGGGAGGGTTCTTGGAGCAGGGCCTCCCTCGCTGATCTTAAGGGGCGTGAGGGCATATAAGGACGGAGACGTTCCTTCCGGTATCCTGATCCCAAGCCATTCAGGGCTTTATAGGTCAAAATAGGTATAGACATATAGGTATATGAGTGGGTGTCACACAGAGGTGGGGAGACCTGTTCTCCCCTGCAGCGGAGGGCATGATGTGCTCCAACAGAGTGAAGCTCAGGGAGTCAAGGTTCAATATGGATGCCAGGAAGTACTTCCTGACAGTGAGGACCCTGAGGGCATGGAATGGGCTTCCACAGGAGGTGGTTGAGGCCCCTTCAAGGGTGTTCAAGGATAGGCTGGACATGCACACGGTAGGCATGTCATGAGCAGAGCTGGCTGGAGCCAGGGGTCAGACTAGATGGCCCGGGAGGCCCCTTCTGACTTGCTCAGTTTCTCTTTTTCTATGTCTATGTTTCTATGGTTGACGGATGGAGGGGTGGGCTGGTTATCTGGCCAGGGCGACTTCTTTTCTTTTCTTTTCTTTTCTAACTTCTTTTATATCGTTTATATTTTTATTTATTTTATATTATTAATTTTAATTTTATATTGTTATTTTTGTATTGTATTGTATTGTGTTGTAAGCCGCCCAGAGGCTTCGGCAAGGGGCGGCATAGAAATGTTCTAATAATAATAATAATAATAATAATAAAGTGTGCAGTGATGGCAAAGCTGACTTGTGTGAATGGAGGACAGCTTGAGGACTTCGATGATGGACGGTGATTCTGTTGTGCTCAGTGCAGCTGATGGGATGTGGCTCTTTGGGGGGGTGGTTGAGGCTCTGTGATTGACTTGGAGCAATTGGGCGATCTGTTGGTGAGCGAACTGGGGGCTCCCCATCTTCCATGGTAGAGAGATGGATGTTTTCGGCCTCTTTGAGGTCTGTGGGCTTGAATGTGTCGGTTGTGCTTGCTTGGAATCCCTTGGCAACTTAGTTCTACATTGCTTCATCTCGCATGTACTTTTCTTCTTTTTGTGTTAAGAAAATAAAAAAGTAAAAAATCTTTCTAAGGGACCAAATATATACATAAATAGAAAATAGTTATAATTAGAACAGTCAAACAGTTAGCAATAAAGCATACAGATTATTAATGCCTAAACTGCATCTACTGAAACCTCCAAAATTCCAAATTAGTTAAAATTGGCTGGATTTTGAACTACAGAGTTGAATTTAAAAAAAAGAGCAGGGGTGGGGAGGTGCTTCAGGATAGAAAGGGATCTTTTAGCTACACATCTCAAGCAGAGAATAGGGGGAAATTGAGAAAAGGGCTTGGGAAAAGGTAGTGAAGTTTGGGTATCTCAAGGACAAGGGCTAACCGCGCTGTAGTGTGTACAATGTGGCACTGGGGCTTGGGGCTCGGCTCACGTCTGAATGGGCTATGCCGCTATGGGATCACGAGTGACTGCATGCCAGCCAGCGATGCAACCGGGCCTACCTCGCAGGGTTCTGGTGAGGATATAATGGAGCGAAGAGGGCATGTGAGCTGCGTTCTTTTCTCGGCACGAGGAAACAAGGTGGGCTGTACAGTAAAACTATGTAAAGGAAGCAAAAGAAACTACATTTTCAGGAGACTACAACGTCGGAACAGTGGATGAGCGATAACAGCAAGAGCAGGGATAGAGAGCAAGAAGACGACGTTTTGGGCTACGAGGCCCCGATCTTCTGAGCGTCCACGCAGGAGCGGGTCCCGCCGCACTCGGGAGTCTGAATCCGGGCGGGCTCCCGCTGTCCATTCGGCCGGGCTCCGACGTCTTCGGGCGGCGCCTCGGCTGCTGCTCGGTCCATGCCTTGGACCGGGGCTCTTCCGACGCGCGCGGGGGGCCCGTGGGCGCCCTCCGCGGCTGCGGCATTGCAGGGGCGGCGGCGAGGCTGGAGCGGCCCGGGAGGGGCGGCCCGCGGAGCGTCGCTTCGCCGCCAGCGAGGAGCGGGGGAGGGGGGGGGGGGGGGGGGGGAGGACCGGGGGCCCCCGCCGCGCCGCCCGGGCCCGCGGAGAG